ATTGAGATACAATTTAAGAAACAGCTCTAAGTTTAGTTCTGTGCTATTTACATGTCCTCTGTCACACCCTCACCTGGCCCAGTGTCTCCATCATTGCCAGAAACAGGTTGGTTGCTCATGCAACAAAAATTCTTCAACTTTTCCTCCCAGTCAGAACCCTGAATTTGTTCAGATGTCCCCCTTCCCTGTGTGACCAAGGGAAGGCTGACCCCAGCCCAACTCCATGAGTGAGTCCTGTTTGGTCCAAGTTCATCATGGTGGTCACATTTGTCTTGCCAGTGAAGGTTTGGGTAGGTCTGGCCTAAAAAACCAGAGGGGAGGCCTATTGCAGAGAGGGGGCTCCTAGAAAGGGTCTCTTCACTTTCACAAGCAGTCTGCCCCCTTTGCTCAGTGTGGATGTGTTTGGAGGAAATGCTTGGAATTGTAGCAGCTGTCTTGCTTTCAGTTGGTCCAGGAGAGTCCTAGGGAAGAGGGGCTTTTGCTTTGACCCAGACCTGGACTTTTGGTTTGTGAGATGGTCCATCTTACTGCTTACGTTAGTTTCATAGTGGTGTGCTGTCATTTGGCAACCCAAAGAATCCCAACTGATATACTGATATGCACCACCATTTGTGGGGGGGAGGAGTGTTAAACAGGGCAGGGTCTAAATTATTGAAGCGTTTGAAGTAAAATGAAAAAAGTCTTGATGGTGGATAAAACAGTGGCTTTATTATTCAACATGTACTTACTGGTGTTGAGTCTGGGCAGGCTGTAGGAGTGGATGGAATAAACTATGATACTTTACTCCCAAGGAGCTTGCAGTTTAGAGGGAAAAACAAAGAGGAAATATCAGGCACGGTAGGGTGCACTGAGTACCCTTACGTATGTTATTGAATCTGAGTCTCAAAGCAATCTTAACTAGTATGTATTATTACCCCCATTTTATAAGGAAGATCCTAAGGCTCAGAAAAAGGAGATGTGGTAGAAATTGCTAGTTGTCCACTAAAATCCATCCTCCTGTTCTTCAGTACTAATAGAGTAGCAGTTGGAGGAATGGCTGGTCTGCGAGAGACTGCACTTCCCAGCTGCTCTTGCAGCCAAGTGTGGCTTTCTGACTAAGTTCTTTCCAATGGAACATAAATAGAAATAGGCCTTAAGACATGGGACTTTTGCTCTTCCATGCTCCATTTCCTCTTTCCTTGAGTTGGAACACAGATGTGCTAGGGACCCGGCTTCAATAATACTCCAAAGGGGCTGACAGAGCAAATATATGAGAGGAACCTGGGCTCCCGAATGACTGGATGGAGTAGAGCCACCCACTGACATGGACCAGAGAGTGAGAAATAAGCATTTATTTTCTATAAGCCATTGTTTTTTGGGTTTCTTTTTTTGCAGAAGATTAGCCTTCTTCATGCTATTTGACAATTGTTTTTAGAAGAGGCTCTGGTACTATTTTATGCTTTTGTCTAAATCCTTCCAGTAGATAAATTCCTTTTAATATCTAACTTCAATCTCCTCTGAAGTGTATACAATGTGGTTTTCTCTGGATGAAAGTCACAGCCTCTTTTCTCTTTCATAATACTTTCCAGTTTTCAGTCTTTTTGCCCTTTGTACTTCTCCTGACTTTACTGCATCTCAGTTAAGATGCAGGACACTAAAACTGTGCATTATATTTAAGTTTGGCAAGTCATTGCTCTCTTTGGATCTCTGTTTTCCCAACCTGATGTGGTAGAGTGGTCTGAACTAAGACTGAGAGGTTCTGAGTGCAGTGTATGCTACCTCATACCATTCATACTCTAAAAAATAACATCGGGAATTGTTTTGTTTTTGGAAAGCTATCCAAGAGATATTCTTGAACGAAAAAAAAGAAGAAGAAGAAGAAAAGAAAGACCCAAGCACATGCACACACATAGTTATTGATACAGACTTACACACGTGCACGGGCATTATTCGCATAGTAAAAATTCTGTAGAAGTATATAGTAATTCTAACTGTGTTCATCTATGGACTGGGATTATGGAGGGACTTTAACTTTTACATTATATAGCTCTGTTTATTATAATAATTAAAAATTAAAACGTTCTAACTGCTAGATGATATGGGATATTATATTAATTTTGTAATCGGAAAAAATAAAGATATAGTCCATCCTCATTGTTCATGAATTCCATATTTGCAAATCCACCTACTTCTAAAACTTATCTGTAACCTTCGAATCAATACTTGAGGCAGTTTTGCAGTTACCTGTGGATATACATATGCACAGAGAGGTGAAAATTTTGATTTTCCCCATACAAATTTTCCCAGCTGTGGTTGAACAAGGACATACTCTGCCTTCTTGTTTCAGTGCTCATAGTGTAAACAAGTATCCTTTTAGTGACTATTTAGTACCATGTTTTTCTCATATTTGTGCTTTTTGTTGGTGATTTTGCCATTTTAAGTGGGCCCCAAGTGTAGTGCTAAAGTGCTGTCTAGTGTTCCTGAGTGTGAGAAGGCTGTGATATGCTTTTGGGAGAAAATATGTGTGTTTGATAAGTTTTGTTCAGACATGAGTTATAGTACTGTTGGCTGTGAGTTCAGTGTTGATGAATCAAATATATATATATAAAAAACAAGGTGTCTTTAAACACAAACACACATAATACATGGTTATGTATCGATTGATGAAAATGTGGCTAGAGATTGGCAGTAACCTGATGTTGGACTTCCTCTAGGGACAATGAT